CCGCTAGAACGTAAGCAACGTGTGTGGCAATTTTGTAACCTTGTAACTACATAAACAAATAGTGTTCGTAATGCATTTACTGATAAGCCTTAAAACTTGGCATGGAATGAAAGGGGACGTAAGCCTTTATTTTGAAATAAATCACAACTTATTGCACATAGGTGGAAGAAAAATATTGAGAAGGGTACAAAATGTTACCAAAGTGCCATACTTTGCCTCTATAGAGAGAGAGAGAGAGAAAGAGAGAGAGAGAGAGAGAGAAAGTCACGTGATCGATATCTTCACTATAGTGAAGATATGGAAAATATCTCACTGTGTATTTTTCAGTATCTCACTCTCTACTATGTCTATATAATAAATATACTTACACAATGCAGTTGAATGAAACCCAACGGAAGCCCAAGATCCACATTTATGATATGATGTATATCCACAAACATACACGGTATATTTTTTGGCGGGCTGTAGAATGGGAAATGAAGCTATTCGAGTTTCATTCACCAACACACAACACCTAGAGCTAAGGAAGCCGTTACTGCCATGAATATGTATGTTATACTTTTGAATAATGCCATTCCTTTTTCCTTCGGTAATATTTCCCCAAACAACCGTCACGTTAAATGCGCTTAGTGATACAACTCTTAAATTTTTCGGCCCTTCCGAGGGAGCTGAAAACACACAAAAAAATATCACAGTAATATACACCAGCAGAATTCGTGTGCACTTATTCATTTATACTGGAAGGTACCACCTTCCCAACGAAAAACCTTCGCTCAAAACGATCAAGTTCTGCTTATATTTATCAGGTAGTTGCATAGCCTTCACAATTGTCTGCTCTGTTCTTCCTAGAGGTCCAGTAAGAGTCATCTCTTACTGATTCAGTGTTACTACAGGAGGAAACCCAAACTAAACTAACTTTATTTATACTGGATAGCTCTATCAGTTCTAAACTGTTCTCCCCACAGGTCCAGTAAAAGTCATCTCTCATCGATCCAGTGTTACTACATGAAGAAATCTAAACTAAACTAACTTAATTTATACTGGATAGTTTTATCAGTTCTAAACTGTTCTTCCTAAAGGTCCAGTAAGGATCTTTTCTTATTAATCCAGTGTTACTACAGGAGGAAACCTAACCTAAACTAAACTAACTTTATTTATACTGGATACAGTAGCTCTATCAGCTCTAAACTGTTCTCCGTAGAGGTCCAGTAAAAGTCATCTATCATTGATCCAGTGTTACTACACGAAGAAACCTAAACTAAACTAAACTAACTTCATTTATACTGGATAGTTCTATCAGTTTTAAACTGTTCTTCCTAGAGATCCACTGAGAGTCATCTCCCATTGATCCAGTGTTACACAGGAGTAAACCTAAACTAAACTAACTTTATTTATACTGGATAGCTCTATCAGTTCTAAACTGTTCTTCCTAGAGGTCCAGTAAGGATCATCTCTTATTGATCCAGTGTTACTACAGGAGGAAACCTAAACTAAACTAACTTTATTTATACTGGATAGCTCTATCAGTTGTAAACTGTTCTCCCTACTACACAGGCAAAATATCTCACATGTTGTCGCAAGTCTGCCAACCAGCCGTCAACAAGTTGTGTTCGCACTGCTTGTCCCAAGTTGTCAACAAGTATGGAACAACTTGTTAACAATTGTAACAACTTTGTTGCTATTATCAGACTTGTTGCAAGGTTGTTCCAACAAGTCTGATACAGTCATGATAAAACAGTATTGTTACAACATTGTGTCGTCAACCACGTAACATTCCTTTTATAAGTCAGATAATACCATCAACCTTGTTACAAGTTGTTAACAACTTGTTCCAAACTTGTTACAACAACTGGGAACAAGCAGTGCGAACATAACTTGTCGACAGCTTGTGAACAGATTTGTAACAACTTGTTTGTGGACTTGTAACAACTTGTGCGTTTTTACGTGTGTAATAGAGGTTGAGTGAGGGTCATTTCTTATATATAAAACTGCTACTGACTCACCTCCTTCGATGGTATGAACTAACATAAAATTTGAGCAAGGAAATCCAGCTCCTTTGAAGGTCCTTAGTTGCACGGTAATAGCAACAAGTTTATAAGGACCGCAGTGTACTGTCCCGTGAGCACGATCTGTGGTGGTTGGCTTCGCATGACCAATCCACACGTCTTCCCTGGTTCCATCGATTAAATATGCTATAATATTGTAGCCCTCATAGTATGTGTCCTCGATATCTTCCGCTACAGGGTAGAAATACGCATCGGCTCTATTCGGATTACCAGACGGGAAAACTTCATCAAGAACTATATCGTGACAGGATTCTGTAAGAAATGAAAACGAGTTCATTTAGTTTTCCCATGTACACCACTTAGGCTCTTATTGGACCTCTAGGGAGAACAGTTTAGAACAGATAGAGCTATCCAGTATAAATAAAGTTAGTTTAGTTCAGGTTTCCTCCTGTAGTAACACTGGATCAATAAGAGATTATCCTTACTAGACCTCTAGGAAGAACAGTTTAGAACTGATAGAGCTATCCAGTATAAATAAAGTTAGTTTAGTTTAGGTTTCCTCCTGTAGTAACACTGGATCAATAAGAGATGATCCTTACTGCACCTCTAGGAAGAACAGTTTAGAACTGATAGAGCTATCCAGTATAAATAAAGTTAGTTTAGTTTAGGTTTCCTCCTGTAGTAACACTGGATCAATAAGAGATGATCCTTACTAGACCTCTAGGAAAAACAGTTTAGAACTGACAGAGCTATCAAGTATAAATAAAGCTAGTTTAGTTTAAGTTTCCTCCTGTAGTAACACTGGATCAATAAGAGATGATCCTTACTAGACCTCTAGGAAGAACAGTTTAGAACTGACAGAGCTATCAAGTATAAATAAAGTTAGTTTAGTTTAGGTTTCCTCCTGTAGTAACACTGGATCAATAAGAGATGATCCTTACTAGACCTCTAGGAAGAACAGTTTAGAACTGATAGATCTATCCAGTATAAATAAAGTTAGTTTAGTTTAGGTTTCCTCCTGTAGTAACACTGGATCAATAAGAGATGATCCTTACTGGATCTCTAGGGAGAACAGTTCAGAACTGATAGAGCTATCCAGTATAAATAAAGTTAGTTTAGTTTAGGTTTCCTCCTGTAGTAACACGGGACCTCTAGAAAGAACAGTGGATACCACTTACTGGAGTTATAGATACAGATATAGCTCTCCAGCACAAATAAAGTTAATTTATTTATACTGGATAGTTCTGTCAGTTCTAAATTGTTCTTCCTGGAGGTCCAGTAAAGATCATCTCGTATTGATTCAGTGTTACTATAGGAGAAAACCTAAACTAAACTAACTTTATTTATACTAGATAGGTCTATCAGTTCTAAACTGTTCTCCCTTGAGGTCCAGTATGGGCCATCTCTTATTGATCCAGTGTTACTGCAGGAGGAAACCTAAACTAAACTAACTTTATTTATACTGGATAGCTCTATCAGTTCTAAACTGTTCTCCGTAGAGGTCCAGTAAGGTTCTTTCCTTGTTGCTCCAGGTTTACTAAGAAAACCAAACTAGCTGCAAAAAAGTGTGAGGTATTTGGTGAAAGCTGTCACAGAAATGACAGCTACATGCTTAATATTGGCAATCACTTACGAAATTTAGACTCGCAATCCTTTACTTCCGGTGTCCTGTTCAAAAATCTGTTCTCATTGAAGGATCTAAATAGCCCAAAGCCATTCTGCCATCCTACTTCGGTAAAACTTAGCACCAAAGTCAGTTGCAGGTCACCGCCACTACAAAAACGCCAGAGACATAGCAAGTGAGGAAATAGTTTACGTATGAACGTTGTATAAGGGGACAAGGTGTATGGTTTTGACAAAGTACTATCGCGCAGCAGATGGTGGGTCAACCTGCAGTTACCAGAGTGACAAGATGATGGTAATGCTTCACGTTCAATTTAGTACAAGCGCAGAAATCTCACATCTTGGAGCAACTCTGTAAACAAGTTGTTACAAATCTGTTCACAAGTTGTCGACAAGTTGTGTTCGCACTGCTTGTTCCCAGTTGTTGTAACAAGTTTGAAACAAGCTGTTAACAACTTGTAACAAGCTTGATGGCACTATCAGATTCGTTACAAGGTTGTTCTAACAAGTCTGATACAGTCATGGTATAACAAGAATGTTACAAGGTTGACCACACAAAGTTGTAACAATATTGTTATATCATGACTGTATCGAACTTGTTGGAACAACCTTGCAACAAGTCTGATAATATCAACAAGATTAACAGCTTGTTTCAGACTTGTTGACGACTTGGGACAAGCAGTGCGAACACAACTTGTTGACGGCTTATATTGGCAAACTTACTGCAAGATGTGAGAATTTTACGCGCATAGTCTTTTGTTTGGTGGTAAATATATAGAATTGAGAGATGTACACGCGTATAAAAATTCCGACAGCTTGTCAACAAGTTGTGTTCGCACTGCTTGTTCCCAGTTGTTGACAAGTCTGGACCAAGTTGTTATCATCTTGTAACAAGGTTGATGAGGCCAACAGACTCGCAACAAGTTGTTCCAACAAGTCTGATATCGTTTGCACGTAACAAGTTGTTAACAAGTTGACGACAACAAGCTCGTAGCAACTTGTTACGAACAGCCTGTATTAGTCTTGTTAGAACAACTTGTAGCAAGTTTGTTACCGTCATCACCTTGTAACAGCAACTTGTTCCAGACTTGTCACAACAACTGGGAACAAGCAGTGCGAACACATCCTGATATCGGCTTCACAACAACCTTGTTGCAACTTGTTTCCAGATCTGCAACAATTCGCCCGTTTTACGTGTATACTACAAGTACTAACTTGTCTTGAAGATTCTTCATATCAACAGATTCAAAGCCAATATCTTTCTCGTAGTCGTATATGTCGTTTATCTACAGCAAAAATCACAAATTTATCGCAATGGGAATACAAAGGGTGACTTTTCACGTGATATCACAAAAATTAGGGTTAAGGGTTATATATAATCCCTTTACGATTACTGTTCGGCTTTTAAGAATATGGTTAGGATTGCGATTAAGAGAGCGGCTATTATTTATGGCGGGGGGTGACACCGAAGACAAAAGAGTTGGGTAAACAAAATTGGAAGTAAGTAAAAGGTTGGCTAAATGAAAAACAAACAACTCAAGGGTTGGGTAATAAAACTTCACTGTATTGTCATTTCCAAAACATGACTCGCTCAAATATTGAAGACTAAAAAGCAATGTCAACAGTCATATGTCAATACAATATGTGAATCAATCAGAGTCACTATCTTGATCATTTTCCGATTTGTCAGGAGGCAAATGGTGTCTCCAAAGAAAGTACATGTACAGACAACATGAAACTTTAGACTGCAGAAAATTGCACAAGAAGTTATCAAACTCGTGTTTTTGGCCAGGGGTGGGTGTTTATTATTTAGTTGATATTTGAGATTGGCTAAAAAAATGTTTTTTGACTTTTTAATGGTTGGATCAGCAAATATTTTTGCCAAGAAAAACATATCTCTTTGGTACCAATAAATAATGACCGCTCCCTAAGATTGAAAATAGAGATACTTTAAGTAACCGTAATATTTAAATTGAGGTTTTTAATATGAAAAGAAAAGCCAGAAATAACAAGAGAATGTAGTTCTACTATTAAGTCTAGTTGAGGATAGTAGTACATGGTTGTCACTACAACGCCAGCATAAGATAAGCGTCTTAAGCGGTGCGCTTTGATGTTGTTACGCACGCGTAAATGAAACTTGAACTTACTAAAGTTGTTATATTTTCGTTCAAGATTCTATACGCTGGGCTGGTAGTTTGACTGTATGCTGAGTCCCATGGAAAGTCGGGAACTACCAGTGTTATATTCGTAACCGCGTATCCATCAAAGTCTGGAGAAAAAAATTTAATAAGAATTTATTATCAGTGTGATAATCATTATCACGGCTATAATTCTCATCCTCACCATCACCATCAACACCATAACACTACCATATTTACCATCGCCACCATTTTTATCACCATCATCACCATCATCACCACCACCATCATCACCATCACCATCATCACCATCATCACCATCATCACCACCATCATCATCATCATCATCACCACCATCATCACCATCATCATCACCATCATCATCATCATCATCACCACCATCATCACCATCATCATCACCATCATCATCATCATCATCATCACCACCATCACCACCATCATCACCATCATCATCACCATCATCATCATCATCATCACCACCATCATCACCACCATCATCATCATCATCATCACCATCATCATCACCATCATCATCACCATCATCATCACCA